TACCTTGTAAGGGAAAAGGCGTAGGCAGAAAATTTACGTCCTCCAATTACATGCCCAATGTTGAGGTAGGCTATTTATAGAACGTGCGCTATAAGCTTTGTACATTTAACCACTGGAGCCTGTGATATGAAAGAAGGAATTGGCAGGAGTGAACGTTGGTATTGTATATTGCAGGATACAGACAGGACACGTGCAGTGATCACATAGTAATAACAGAGGTAGGTAAATACGGTTTGGGCAATGATTTGAACTTTCTGGTAGAGTACATTTACTTCAACACGAACGCACATAGTCTCTCTCTCTCTCACACACACACACACACCTCTCACACCTCTCACACACACGCGCGCGCGCATACATATACTCACAAACGTGGTAACAGCAGCAGTATTACACGTAGGAGAGAGAGAGAGAGAGAGAGACACTTTCACTTTTTAAGTGCATCTCTTCAAGCACGCCCACACACAAAAAAACGACAAAATAACTGCTTACATGTAGGAGAGAGAGAGAGAGAGAGGAGGGAGAGAAGGAGAGGGAGAGAGAGACACTTTCACTTTTAAGTGCATCCAGGAGAGCACGCCCACACACACACACAAAAAAAAATCGACAAAATATCTGCGTGCATGTAAGAGAGAGAGAGAGAGAGGCACGAGGCACTTTCACTTTCAAGTGTTTCTCGGCACGCACGCCCACATAAAAAAACCGACAAAATAACTTAAGAGCTAACGGTGAGAGGGGCGTACACAACCGTTTCTGCGTGCGGACATGTGCATGATTGTAGACCCGGCACATTTCAGGGCACACGAAGAATAAACGTATAAAGAGAAACGTTTTTAAATAGTAAAGTAATTTTTATTAAGACTGATCCGTACTAACGTGTATCACAGCTGCTTGTTACTCTTTCACTTAGTAAAAAATTTATGTTAACATCAACCTTGTATCGGTGAACAAGATTGATTGATACAGCTACAGGTATATATCAACAACAGTGCGCGTACCTTGTTTTAATAATACATCCCTTCTATAATACTGTCGTTTTAAAACTAATCCACCGTGATAAATATACTCCAACAAAAGCAGTTTAAACTCGATTTAGATAAAGATGCTTTCTAATGGACTCCTCATTTAAGAGTCTAGCTTTTGATAATAAATTTGAGTCCAAAGATAGATTCGAAAAAGAAATTATCAAATAAACTTTGATAAGTATGTACGCTCTGCTCTTAATATGGCGTCATTAAATCAACTCCCAGTCTGCGTCAGTCCCGTCTGAAAGAAATGTATTTTTGCCAGTTTCCTCTGTTGCCATTCTTGCCGTGACCCATTCAAATCAGCGACGTAATAGAATAATGTCCACAATTAAAAAACAAATCAATAAATCAAATGGATAAAGAAATCAGTCAAAGGGTTTTGATTGGTTTCCTCAAAGAACACGGGGCACAAGCACTGCGAGTCTCACTCTCTCTCTCTCTCTCTCTCTCTCTCTCTCTCTCTCTCTCTCTCTCTATATATATATATATATATATGCAAGTCCACGATAGTGGGGAACAGCAGTAGTTTATCATCTTTGAAAATCTGTCAAAATATTCTTATGTGTTGGATTACAACGGGGGTGCTTTTATCTGAAAGGGGATAGATATCATCTTAATATATCTTAATATAACAAACAATTTTGTATTTCCATTGCTGTGTATTTTAAACGTTTTGATTCTAAGCAGAAAATGACACTAAATCTGGGATGCAGTCTCCTTTGCAGCTGTACCATATGGAAAAGAAGGCTCTCAGAATAGTATGGTTATGTTTCTTGGTCATCCCAGGGATCATTTACGGCACACACACTAGAGATAAAACAAAATTGCTCTTCGTCGCAAGTTTTGATGGGTGAAGTTTTGAACGGGTTGTTGTGCAGTACCATCCTTTCTTCGATTTCAACTTCAGTACAAAGTATTATCTCCCTTACACGTGATCTATTCAAGACGTTCAATTTCGGGATTTAAATACCCGAAATACACCCTGATTTTCATAAAACAACAATGAATATATAAATCATGTCATCTCAGCGTGTTTTTACAGATGTTTTGACAATTATCCTGTTTCGTTTCCTTCTGACTCGCACGACAGCAAAACCACAGCTAGCGTATACGTGTGGTTTCGTTTCCCCAACCAGATTCGAACCAGGGACTTAGCGTAAAGAGTGGAGATTCCCAATGATGACGTTATAGCCCGGTCACATGAATATAAATGAGACTAATTAAATTAGCTATGTCCGGTACCAATTTTTAGTGTGTAATTCGCAAAAAACGATTCCATGTCATCGCTGTTTAACCTCCGATTTAGGGTCGCAGCGTGCTTTTTCAACTATGTGAAGTTAAGTTTTCAGGCCTTCCCAACTACCAGACCCGGCACCGAATGATCCTGAATTCACCGGTTTATCGGACCACACCACCCGTTTTAAAGCTGTGCGTCAGTACGCGCTTCGAACGCGACGTGATAGTGATAATTCTCAGCGGGTTTGGAAAGAAGTGCATCTCATCTCAAAATTTGTTCCGGGGTTTGATACTGTGAAATGCGTACTGACACACACCTTGAAAACGGGTAGTGTGGTTCGAGCTACAGGTGAATTCGGGATCATTCGGTGAATATGAAGCAAAATACGTTGCATATTCTAAGCGGAAATGTTGAAATCTTGATGTTCCTGTCCCACTGTTGTTACCCAGCATCGAGAAGGTGTACACACACACATACATACACACACACACACACACACACACACACAGTGTAATATGTACAATGGACCGGTAAAATGTGTGTGTGTGTGTGTGTGTGTGTGTGTGTGTGTGTTATTTCCGTGTCTTTGTGTATTACCGGTCCATTGTACATGTTTTAATAGTCCCTGGAACTGTTAGGAGAGAGTAACCATTTCAATTAAAATTAAAATACAGTGTAACACAAAAAAAATTTCTGTAAACTGATTAAACCATTCTTTATTTATTCAGGTTAGCAATCACAAAGAACTGTGTTCGGGCACGTGATATTCACCCTAAAGAGATGGCCGACTCAGAGCAAGTGCAGTGTCAATTTTGTAAAGGAACGTACAAAAAGAGAGGTCTGGCAAATCATCAACGATCCTGCAAACAAAAACCGCAGGACATAAAACCTGGTGAGGACAGCGAGTTGCCATCAGGCAAAGTTTCCTCTACAGAAAAATGTGATCAAGAACAATCAGAAACAATACAATGTGAATATTGCGGCAGAACATACAAGAAAAGGGGTCTGGCAACTCATCAACGGTCTTGTAAACAAAAGCCACAGGATTCAAAAGAGCAGCGTGAAAGCAGCGAGTTGCAATCAAGCAAAGTTCCTCCTGTAGCAAACCCTAAACAAGAACAATCAAACACGCTGCAGTGTCAATTTTGCGGTGGAACATATAAGAAAAAAGGACTTGCGACTCACCAACGAGCATGTAAACAGAAGCATATGGACCACGGGGAAGACAGTGGAATTGGAACCAGCAGAAGTGTTTTGTCTGAAACGGTGACTGACCCGGTGCAAGCAGGAACACTGCTTGGGCGTCTTTGCAACGAGACACAGAAAACTGAACTAGAACCACATATGTGGGACTTTAAACAAAACCCAGGGAATATGGCAAGCTGTCCTTTTTGCTGTTGGGAGTTTGCCCACCAAGATTTACCGACACACGTGCAACGTTGCAAACAAAATCGGAGCAGACTACAGTCGGATTCGCAAACTGGTGAGGTAATTTCTGAAAATCAGAAGATCTCTCCACCGTTACATGAGAAATTGCTGAGCACATCGAAGTCATATAACCATAAGCGTGGTGGTGCTGCCAAGGCGAATGGAGGTAATTTCTTTTCGTCCTTTACACTATACACTTTCAATGAAAACAGTAAAAAGGTCCCTTATGTTTTGCTATGTTATAGATATAGCTGTCTTTTTTAGAACCCAAAATTGGAGATTTTAACATTTTGTTTTATAGCTTAATAAAAATCATTATTTCAATGTAAATTAGTCACAGTCATAGAATTATCGGTCATCATTGATTGATCCAACTCCCCTGAACTTTTGCTGAATTCGATCAGATTAACACGCCTCCTGTTGTTTCTTACGTGCTCTTATAATCACTAGCAGCTCTGTATTACACTCAACACCAGGAGGAGGTGTGTGAGTCTATTTAATATGGATCTAAGGGCGCATTCCCATAGATTTTAGATCGATCTATCCACGTGGGGAGTCTCACTAGATTACTGTCAGATAATCCGGCTTAAATGTCCGTCCCGCCTACTATAAGCTGTAAGGGGGTAATTAACTTTCGTGCCCGCTCGGCTAACAGCTATTTAGCGTGAACCCCAAGGGAGTTAGGTCGATCTAATCTCTAGGAATGGGGTCTGAGTAGAACGATAATTTCATTGGGAATGAGCCCTAACTTAGTGTTGGTATTTCTCAATATAAAACACGATTGCTTATATATTGTCCAGTACGTTTTTGAACACGAACCCATGTTTACTATTTCAGCGACTAAAGACGAGTTGTTACTCCTCAAAAAATTCCTGATCACCCCTCAAGGTGGCTATGCCTCGCTTCCACAGCACGGGGTATCCATTGTGGTCCCAGAGGGGGCAATCACTGAGAAAAGTAAAGAACTGTTTATCGGCATCAGCAATAGGAAGGAAGATCGCCCAGTCCTTCCTACTGGCCAGTCAAGAACTAGCCCAATCATCGTGTGCGGGCCTCACGGCACGCATTTCAAAAAGCACGTGCTCCTCAGTTTTCCGCACAATGTACCAAATGTTGATAACGCAGTTGTAAAGCTCTGGCAATCGCAGACAGATCTGAACCAACAATGCAAATGGGAAGAAGCCGATGCCCGAACGTGTGTTAACTTCACACCGACAAGATGCTTGCTCTCTTTGAATCATTTTACAAAACACACAACCTCTTGCAGCCAAAAGCGTGTACTTGCAGCTGCGTTCGGTGACTACGATTGCGACACTGCTAAGCTCTCTCTTAACGTCCACTGCGTAGATGACATGCCTACTGCTCTAAAGGTAGGCCTACATATAGATATTCGGTTTATTGTTATTTTTTGTATACGCTCTGTTTGCAATTGTTATTGTTATAGCTTTCAGATAGTCTATGGGCCAATGTAGACCCCCCTCCCCCCCCTTAGTGATTTTCGTTCACTATGTTTTTCTCATAGCTTAGGTCCTAAGCTTTGATTTTCCGCTTGTTTGCCATTAAACTGGTGGTGGGTGTGTGTGCTACAGCCGTTGCCATGGTAACGTCTGAGATAAAAAATTGAAATTTCTGAGACCAAAAAAATATTAAATTATTCAAATGTGTTAAGTGGATGGAATTCAAAATCCTTTCAGATGTATAGTTTAAGAGCTGCACTATACTTTATAAACCTCAAAATGTTCCAAGATGGCTGTAAATTCAAGATGGCGGCCAATTTTTGCTAATTTTTGAGTAATTTCAATTATTTTTCATATTTGAGTCTTTGTTCAATTATAAAGGAATAAGAATGTGGGATATGTTTTGATGCGCCGGAATAGCATACAGTCTCTACTTGCTACCTACAGTATTTATTTTAGATGAAACCTTTCAATTTTGTTGTAAAATCCTGAAATCCAAAATGGTGGCCAAAATATAAGTCTGCTGTCCCAACTGGAAAGATGCCAGATTTATCATCAAAGTGTCATTCTTTATTACTTTTAATAAACTAATTTCGAGCTTAGGACTTTTTAAAACAATTTGCATTAATTCTGATTACATTAAGACTTTCAAAATTCAAAATGGCCGCCAATATGCTTATACACACTGGCTAAAACTGATATAATATATTCTTCCAACAGAATATTAATTTTAATTATCTCCCACCAACTTAGTCCCATTAGTGATTTTTTTTTTTTTTTCTGGTAGGTTAGGCCCTAAGCTTTTATTTTTTGCTTGTTTGCCATTAAACTGGTGGTGGGTGTGAGTGACGGAGCTGTTGCCATGGTAATGTCTGGGGTTGAAAATTGATATTTTTGAGACCAAAAATAAAAATTAAATATTCCAAATGCATTTAAAATCATGGAATTCACAATTATACCAAATGTGTAAATTAAGAAGTGTGCTATACTTCACAATCATCAAAATGTCCCAAGATGGCAGCAAATTCAAGATGGCTGCCAATTATTGCTCATTTTTAAATAATTTTGGGAATTTTTTTATATTTGAGTTTTTATTTAATTATTAAGAAATTGCAATGTGGCATGTGTTTTGATGTTCCATAATGGTAAAAAGCCTCTGCTGTCTGCCTAAAGTGCTTGTTGAAGATGTAACCTTTTAATTTTGACGTAAAATCCTGAAATCCAAGGTGGCTGCCACAAACCATGTCTTTTACATACGGCTGTCCTAACTGGAAAGATGCCACATTAATCATCCCAAATTATATTCTTTATTACTTTTAGGTGTACTGAATATGGACCTAGGACCCTTTTATATAAATTGTGTTAATTCAGATTGCATTATGACTTTCGAAATTCAAAATGGCCGCCAATTTGCTTACACATGAAATGATATAATACATTATTCCAATACAAAATAAAATTTAATAAACTCAAGCTAGCTCAGCCCTATTAGCAATTTTTATTTACTATGGTTTTCTGATAGCTTGGGCCCTAAGTTCAAATATTCTGCTTGTTTGCCATGTAATAGGTGAAAGGTGTGACAGATTCAGCTGTTGCCATAGTAACACAGGGGTTTTAAAATTATAATTTCTGAGACCTTTAAATTGCCATGTATTTCAAATATATGAACTCGCTGTATTGTAAACTTTTTTTAAAAAAATTAGACTTGGACCTCAGTTATCAATAAAATTATTTGAAAAAATTATCATAGTTAAATTGCCAAAATGGCAGCCAATCCAAGATGATGAGAGATTTATGTTAATTTTCTTCTTATTACTGAAAGTAGCTTTTTGTAAACTTTGAAAGCAGCATTGGAATTGAAAAATGTTAGGTTTTTGGATATGCTGATATGAACAGAATTGCATAATTACTGTTTACAGTGATTGTTACTCCTATATCCTCTTTTTTAAGAGTAATAAAACCTAAAATCTATGGTGGCCATCACAAAACAGGGTTCATACATACTGATGTGCTGACCGAATATATATTACATTTTCGTTTCAAAATGCCTCTTTTGCTCTTTCTGATAAACTGAATTAACCTATTAGGATATTATCTAAATATTAATAATTTCTATTCATTTTCAGCCAAATTATATTTACTTGGCTATTCCAAAATTCACCATGGCCACAAATGACCATGACAGTGCAGGTATAAATTTTGCTGCAATAATATTAAACAGTGCAACAAACAAATAATTCTAAAATTTGTGCAGTTAATTATAATCAAATATGCCCTTTCTACGCTGCTTTCACGGAAACACTTGTCCATATTCAGTTAAATATGTAGGATTAAGGCTTTTTGGAAATGGATGAAATGTCTTGGCTGTAGTCTTTTTTCATGAAGAATGTTCACTGGAAAGCCAATTAAATTTTGCTGTTACCTCTGAAACTGAGTTTTTGTTACAATCTAAGATGGTGTTCATCTATATGAATAAAAGGAATAGAACATTTACACGTATATGCCATAGCTCAGCTTCAAACTGCTAGAGAGGTAAAACTATATCCACGTTTTGGAAAAATCAATATATGCACTAACTTCAACTGAATATATAATTTAATTTTTTATAACATTTTACTTAAAATATAATTGTATAGAAATGCAAAATCGCCATCTATATTTGCAAACTAGTTGCCTTTCACTCAAAATCAGACTATTTTGTGTCATTCAACTTGCCCAATAGATGGTAAGAGATGATCAAATAATTTCAGCCATCTACCGCACGATAATTTAAATACTTGTAGACCATATTGAGTTATTACAAATGTTCACGATCTTGGCTTCATATTATTCAAATTCAATACATCAAAAGGTAACAACAAATACAAAAGAATAAAAGAATAAATACAGATAGAAAGAAGGCAATTTCGGAGAACAATATACAATATTAGAAGTTTAATAGGACAGCAATATATACCAAAGTAAATCACCCAGGATTTGTTGGGGTCATTTTGGATTTCAAGTTTTTTTTTTTGTTTTTTTTTTTTGTTCTTAAAATGATAATTATAGGAATAACAAACACTTTAAGCCATAAGTAAAGACTAAATACCATATGGATATAAAAATACTTAACATTTCTCGATCCCATTAAATTTTCAACGTTAGTTACTTACAGTAGAAACAGGTTTAGAAATCAGCTCAAACCGGTCGCAATTTTGATATTGCTGCCATCTTGAAAAAAATCACATCATCTTGGATGTTCAAAGAATCTTTTGCCATCATACCACGAATACAGATGTCTTCTTAAGTTTACATTATTGTTGAAGTTAATATATTTGAAATGTATGAAATTTTCTTAGTCTCAGAAATGTCAATTTCGAACCCCTGTGTTGGTATGGCAATGGCTGGGTTAATTGAATAGAAAACAAGCAGAAAATGGGATCTTAGGATGTAAGCGATATATAATATTAAATAAAAGTCGCTAAAGGGGGATTCAGGTTAATAAAATCAATCTAAGTAACATTCTTTTGGAATATAATTTTCTATCAATTTTTTAGCAAGAGTGTATCATATTGACCATAAATATATAGTCCCCTATACTCATTGACAGCCATTTCTTTCAAATGCGACAGAATACATTAGTATTTCAACTCAAAAGTATTCTTTCCCATGTCAGATGTGAGTGATTAGCATGTACATGAAACTTTGTGTGATTTCTTAGGTCAAATGTGAGTGACTTGCATTTATTGGGGGGTATTATAGGTCTTATATCTCGTCTAGGTTATTGTTGACCATTTGATCTTTCTTTTTTTTAATCATTTTACATGAACACACATCTAGTAGTGATCAGCACTAATAAAACATAAGTATTCATCCAAACTTAAGATAAAATTAGGGAATATTGCTGCCATATTTTAGTCTACTGGTTACAAAGATGTAAATTCACGGTCATTGGCGGCCATTTTGAATTTTGAAAGCCATACTGTAATCCAAATTAAGTCAAGTAATTGAAAATGGTTCTGTTTTTATATCCAGTGCACCAAAAGTAATGAAGAACTTAATTTGGGATGATAAATCTGTCATATTTCCAGACAGGACAGCTACATGTAAAAGACTTGTTTTGTGGCAGCCATGTTGGATTTCAGGATTTTTCATCTCAATAAAAAGATTGCACCTTGAATAAACACTACAGGCAGAAAACATAGACTCCATGCTACACTGGTGCATCAAAATATCCCAGATATTGCAATTCTTTAATAATTAAAAAAGAATTAAAAAATTTAAAATTATCAAAATTTTTGAAAAAACAGCAAAAATTGGCCGCCATCTTGGATTTGCCGCCATCTTGGAAAATTTTGTTCATCGTTAGGTATAGTGCACATCTTAAACTACATGTCTAGAACGATTTTGAATTCTATTTAGTTTATGTATTTGAAATATTTTAGATTTTGTTGGGCTCAGAAATGTCAATTTTTAACCCGTGTGTTACCATGGCAACGGCTGTAGCACACACACCCACCACCAGTTTAATGGCAAACAAGCAGAAAATAAAAGCTAAGGACCTAAGCTATCAGAAAAACATAGTGAACGATAATCACTAAGGGGGGGGAGGGTTTCGGTATTTGGCCCACGGACTAAGAGTTAATGTTATTCTCTCCTAAAATTATGGAACCTATATACTCACCAACTAGGAAAAACCACGGTTAATTGAAACGATAACAGAAAAAGTTGGGTTAATAAATCTGTTAGATATAAAGTTAGAACAGCGATTTCATTAATATTCATAATCTATTACTACCCTGTATGGCAGGAGCTGAATGAACAGATGGCAGAGTTGAACATGCATCGCCTGGCACCAGATGGCAGGTTTGTGTTTCACTCATGCGTATGCCGCGAGGATGAGGAGCGAGATGTCAAGGTCACATTGCTGGACCTTGGAAAAAAGTGGAGAGTGACCTCGCCAGGGGGCGCAACTGGTGGTGGCACACCTCAGGTATACAGTTTTCTGCAATCAATTGACCTGGAGCATGGTGGTAATATACTCCCTCCCACCATCTCCCTCAAATCCTTTTTGTCGAAAATATATCTGTCTTATTACATAAAAATAGTAAAATTTCCTCTCTTTTAATATACACTCAGATCTAGCCGTAGTCGTTAACGCCGTCTCCCTGCAATTTCAGTGTTATACAAATAAAATGAAAACCGTTTTACCTTTTGTCTGTTGGCGCTGTTGTTATATGTATATTTGGTAGCTTTGCTGTCTTGTTTAATGCATTTATCCAAGTCATTAATTTAAGTTGCCCCCTGTACTTTTCGTCTTTGTACTACGGAATCGACGGGTGACTGCTCGGCAAATCAAAAAACAATTTTTTGTAATTAATTACATGGAAAATACTTCATCTTGATTTTTCAGATAACTTACCTCGATATATTGCAAAACAACTTGCTGGCGTATCACAACAATTTAACTTGGATCCCTTTAATGTACATGCTGCATGTATTAATCTCGCTTTTTCAGATAATTTACTTCGACGAATTGCAAAACAACCTACAGCCATATCGCAATTACGTTCTTAAACCACATGGAATGGACCCTGTGCGTGACCTTCACTGTGACATCGACGTCCGGCAGGAGAACCAAGATCCAAAATCATCAAGCGCCAAAATTCTCGTCAGGAAGTCCATGTCACAGGTATAATAATCTGCATTTTTCGGCTATTATTTATTCTTTTTATTGTGGTCCACGTTCATGAACGATCGAGGAACATGTATGGAATATGAATCTACCATGAATTTATATTTGACACAATGGCTACATGTATTATGCAGAAGGCAAAACTACAATAATTCTTTGCACCAAAGGCTACTAAGCCAAGCCATACCATCGGGAATTTTTATATTGATTCATAATTCGTAATATTTGAGACTTTCAAACATAAACTTCAGGGCGAATATTATGCAATAACTTTCTATTTCAGTACGCCCACCCATACTAGTGTAGACTGAATTTCCTCAAAGACGCAGAATATTTATTTTATTTTAAGTTCTATTAAAAGCTCTTAGAATTATTTACCCATTTTATACTTACAAGGATGCCCTACAGGCTAGTAATCTTACCTCTCTGAGGGAGAAAACAGATGTTTTATTTAAGAACTTTTTTACAAAAATCAAGAATTTTAATAAGTTACATCTGTTTAAAGAAAAGAATCCAAGAAATCTAAGGGTCAGCAACAAATTTTTAATACCAAGAGTGAAAACGGAGCGTATTAAATTTTAAATTTAAAATTTTAAATTTCATGTAAAATACTGCTCCAAACTGTCTTATAAGTCTTGTTTTTAGCTTTGGTCTTTTACATTGTAACTTATAATTTTTAGTTACCTTTAAATACCTTATGATTTAATATATGATATATTGTAAAACTTCAACCCTTTAGTTGCGATTATAGCAAATAAATAAATAAATCATTATTAAAATACGACTGAATTATCAAAATTTTAAAGGCTTGCTGTCATACATACATCTTTTGGCATATTTACAGATCGTCAAATTCAATACCCCAAGAAGCTCGTCGTCTGTACAGTTTGAGATCGGCACAGGCACACTAAAATCGGACTTGCATCCAATGCGCTTTTTGTCTCCGAAAGAGCGGACTTCTCTTAACGAAGCTGTCAAAACCCCAAAGATATGGCGTATTATTGCCGCCGACATTGGGCTGGATGGAACCGCTGAAAGAAAAGGAGTGGATTTGGAGCCTTGTGCTTTGGTCTTTTTTGCAGTGGGTGAATCGTTTCTGGAAATGCTGAAATTGTTTAGAAGGGTCGAGCGAAAAGCACATGTTAAAATGCAGAAAAGTTTGGACATTATTTATGTAAGTATACACAATGTGGATTTGTTTTCAGTATGTGCAGGATGCAGCACCTTGTCGTCGTGTGCGTGAACACGCATGTATGTTTGTGTTTGTGGGTTTGTTTTTGTTTGTGTGTGTGTGTGGGGGGGGGTGTTTGTGTGTGTTGTGAATGCATGTATAAACAATAGCTGTGTTGTAGAAAGTCTGGGTCATACAGAATATACTGAAAGAAACTGAGGTTAATTCTTAGCGAGGTAAAATGTTGAATACCGACCAATAAAGTCTTGACCAGAAAATAAAATGAACATTGCACACGTCGATGACAGAAAATCAAAGAGGTTGTTAGTATAAGTAAATGAACTGAAAATCATAAAGTGTACTTAAGTTTAAAAATTGAAAATAAAAAAGCAATTTTCCTTTTAAACGACGATTTAAACTGTTCACAGAATTGTGCTCCATAAAGTAGTATTTGAGCTCTAAGTTTCAAAGAGAAATTCGCAAGTCTCTGTCTCCAATGCGATTGACTCGAATCTCAAAAATTATAAATTTAATAACAGATTTATGGGCCGTCATTCTGTGAACGGTTTAAGATATGTGGTATATACCCTTGTGATGAAAAGACAATAGTATATATTTCATGCAAAATTCAAACTTTGCTGCATGAAGACGTTACATTCATTGTCTTCCTTTATTTGTGTACGTCTAAGAGAGACTAATATTATAATAATACTTTATTCATTTTAATCGACAGAATGCCCGCATCCTAGAAGCAAGCTACGAGAAGTTGAAACGTCACACCCCTGAAATTATAAACAGCGTTGACCCTAAGGACGTATATATACAGCTTTTTGCTGATGGGATATTGACATTCTACGACAAAGACGAGATAGAAAAGGCTTGTACAAGATCCACTGTCAATGGGTGCTCCATTTTACTGAATAAAATCTTTCTTTGTCCAGTGGAGAAAACCCCGATTCCCAAGCTGTGCAATGCGCTGCGCGAACAGAACTGTAAAAGAATGGCAGACCTCCTCGAGTTGTCGTTAGATGACATTGAACCAAAAGAGACTTGACAATCTTTGAAAAATGAGCTTTGTCCATCGATGGGTGCACGTGATAAATTCTAATGGATAAATGGGCAAAATAGTAATTAATTTCAAATTTGTTTTTCAATAGTATGATAATCTTTAAATAGTCTTTTTGTATGTATGCATATGCTATCCAGCCAAGTTTATGTTCGTTTGATTATAGTGTTGCAACTGTGTGCCTAGTTACTTAAACACGCTGAAGTATTATGCATTAAATATTTTCCCCTTTCAACGAGGAAGTTTTTTAAGGTGCTAGATCTAGTACTTTCCCAAAACCTCCCCTTTTTCTCCCCCGGGCTAACGTGGCTCTGACTCATAATCTCTGGAGATAACGAGTCAGAGCTCTGGCTACAGGGTGCTCATACTTAGACTGGGCTCCCATGCCTAAATCGATCTATCTGGATCGATGTATCTCCCTGGGGAGTGTCACTAAATTGCTGTTAACTTAACCGGCTTAATTGTCTTTCACGCCTACCGAATCAGCTAGGGTAAAGATAATAACCCCCTAACAGCTTTACTAAGTGTGACAGACATTAAAGCCTGTCAAGTTAACAGCAATTTAGTGAGACTCCCAATATCTGTGGGAATGGTCCCTTAAATTTGTACACTATTTTAGAAGTCCTTAATAGCAGACACAAGGTGGTGAGTCACCAAAGTTATCTTTGAGTGTTTGTATAAACTAGGGATGGGCGTTTTATGGTTTCCAAATATGCAAGGCATCTTATCTCTTACTGGCTGAAATTTTGCTTATGAATTTCTGCTTTTTGTACTTGGACTAACGTCTTTTGTGTTCTCTCAAAGACATGGAAATAAGATAAAGTGAATTAAAAAGATATTCGTGTACAATAAATAAAAAATTAACTTAAAATCAATCAAATTACAAAGACAAGGCACCCCTAGCTGGGTATATCCGCCTTGGCATTTGATTGAACCACGAGGGAATTTCATATTTATGAATCAATCTGCCTCGCTTGAATATCTATTCTTCTCAATCTGAAAAAAAGGTAAATTAATTTTTTTCAAATGCTTTAAATGCATGTTTGGAAGGCATTTCCTAAAGACTTCTTTCTAAAACTACCGTAATATGCAAGGTAGTAGGATCAATACACGGGTGTTAAAAATGCAGGTCTCACAATTAGTGGGGCAAGCCTATAGAGTATAAATTGCACGAGAAATGCATTCGAGTGCTATATCCCGTTTAGGTTTACCCGCAACTCTCTATCTCTCCCATGTAGGTCAGTTACAGTGAAAAGTGACACAAATAGTATTTCACTTTCTCTTTGCAAGAAAAATCCAGATAAGATCGACCTTGTATCGATCACCGGCTGCAATGTCAACTATCTTGTTAGCCAAAAAGTGTCTCTACGTGCCAGTGCATTAATGATACACAATAATGATGATCTTTGAATGGTAATAATCCTCTTACTTACAAGGATAATAGATTCAAAAGTCAAGAATGCCAGTTCCACTTCAATACAGCTATCTGAAAACCAAGGCTTCAGTAAAGTCACACTAAAAGATGTAGGTCACATTACAATAAGAGTACAGAAAAGATTGTCAGGATTTTTTATCCATGATAATTTGGGGTTTGATTGTTCTCTTCTCCGATATCGCGGACCAGTTCCACGAACAGAATACTAAATACCCGGAAAACTAAAGCGATCATCATGAAAGAATTTATTTTTATCAAACTACCTTATAAGGGGATAGGCGTAGGTGGGTGAATAATCCCCCCCCCCCCCCCCAAAAAAAAAAAAAAAAAAAAAAATAGGTCTTCCAATGACATGCGCAATTCTGGAGTATAACATGTATAAAGAACGTGCGATTTAAGCTTTGTACATTTTACCACGGGAGCCTGTGGAATGAAAGAAGGAATTGGCAGGAGTGAACGTTGGTACATGTATATTGCTGGATACAGACAGGGCACGTGCAGTTATTACAGAGGTAGGTTAACAAGGGTATGCATTCCAATAAGGTGTAAGCTAGGACTAAATGTCCTAATCAAGGTGTGTGGGACGCACATGCACCCCTTCGGGATTTCTCAGACCCTTTAAGGATATTTTAACCCTTTATTAGCATCCAGATACGGAAAATGAGTGTTTTATTGAATCTTATTATTCAAAAATGCATCTACATGTATCTTTGTGCTAATTTAAAAAAATGAAATACCCCTCGAAGATATAAAATATCGGCGTTTATTCTTTTTTGTTGCAACGTGTAAGCATAGACCACTCAAAGCTTTAATTGTCAATTTAACGCCTTTCTATGAGGTGAGATAGCAATTGGTATAGGGCGTAACTTCATCCCTGAACAAGAATTTATCACGAAGATTGGCGACGTTGACCAGGAGTATATTCGCAACAAACTGGTGCCGTCATTTTTTTTTGTTATGGAGTTATGAGCCCCTAATTACACATTTTCATGAAACCAAGACATTAATTTGCTTTATCTACGATAAAATCTGAACTAAGACTTTTAAAACAAATCGCTGGCAGGATTTTGGAGTACTAAATGGTGTCATTCAATCGGCATTAAAACGGTGATCGTGGGTGCTCAGGTAAAAGAGAAATTTATGAAACCGTTTGTTCAGTTTTTACCAAAATCGCAATTACAAAGTAATCCGCAAGGTAACATTTGTGTAATGTTAATCAATTTTGTTACTGAGCACTCAAGATTGAGACTGGGACTGGGTTCCCATGCTTAGATCGATCAAGATGGATCGATCTAACTTTCTGGGCAGTGTCACTAAATTGCTATCGACTAACCGACTTAACTGAATCAGCTAGGGGGTAAAGATAATTACCCTTAACAGCTTGACTACTAGACGTGACAGACATCTAGGCCGGTTAAGTTGACAGCAATAGGGAACATCCGAGATAGCCTTTTTTGAACATCTGCGCAGCAGATGACGTCAAACGAGACCTGGATTGGAGCGAGATTTCACGAGAGGTGGGGTTAAAATCTGCCATTGAAACTTCTCTCGCGGTTGTGCACAAGTCTTATGTTATAGGATTGCATTGAGTAAAATTTGGCGTTGTCATGTAATTTGAGATAGAGCAACGCAATGGCGAATTGCTAATGTTGTGTCATAGGGTGCATTGCAGTAAAACCTAACCGAGAAAACCAGGAAAATGACCATGGATGACAGACACGACTGGCGAGAGAAGTGAAGTAAAGAAAGAGAAGTAGTTGGGCTTGAACAGATTAAAAGGACTAAGTGCCGACATATTTAAAGTACAGATCAGGTCGCAGTATTTTGTAGGAAGAAAGGGACCAACTGCAGACAACTAGCACCCGACACGTCACTGGCTTCATGGCATCACCGTATAGACCTTATCATCAACGGTCGAGGGGCATACCGGTATTAATAAGTAAGTTTTGTGTGTGTAGTTTACAGGACACCATGGTTTATTAATGTAATACAGCCCTAGTACTTGTGATTAATAGTCTTTTGCGGTAACCAGGCCCGTAGCCAGCAATTTTAGAAGGGGGGTCGTTTTCTGAAAAAGTGGACCTTTTACCATAAAATCCTCATAAAATCACATAATGATATATATTTCAGAAAACTAAGTGAGTTATTTTTTATTTCAGAGCATGACAGACACAGCACGTTATTGAACCAGGCAAGAACTGTGAGAGTCATGTGGTCAGGATAATCAGATGTTGAAGATTGCTCAGTGTATATTAATCTCTTATTTCCTTAGTTATTATGTTGTTGACTTAATTATAACAGGAATCAAGAGATGGCATTTTTGCCTGGGTGTCACTTACAGTATCAGGCATTTTCTT